TATACATACACCATATGTAATGGGAATAATAACTATCCTTCCCTACTTCAGAAATATTCGGAAGATTTGTGAGAGTGGTTTGCTGCAGTATAAGTCTATTGATTTAATACAAATTCGTAACAGTTAAGCTTCAAACACTAAAATGCTGAATGGTTTGTAAGTTCTTTGCTTCTAAACAATGCAAATATTTTATTTCCAAGAGATATGATTGAAATTTTGTGAATTTACTTTTAATTATGTTAAGACCTAATACAAAATATACCCAATGCTGCATATAAAAATAAACCAGGCAAAAGTCCTCTGCTGGAAACAATGCGGAAAAGAGTTTTTGGAGGCAGCACTCACTCAGTATTTAATTTCCTTATGGTTGCGTTGACTAGAAAAGCCACAATAGAAGAAAAAAAAAGGAAAAAAGCAACACAAAAAAATATATACTTCATAAACATGACTTACCTTGTTTAAATATTTGTCTTTCCAATAATCCCCAAGCAAAGTTCATTTAGCCACTCTACTTCCATGTGATTTATTTATGGAACATGCATCAGACTAAATCTAATTTTGCTCTGCTTGCTTTGGAGAAAGGAAATTAAAAATGAAATAAAGAAAGTGTCCTTTCATTCATTTTTTTTTTCTTTCTCAGAAACAGGCAGGAAGGCTCTTAAATCAATAAACAAGCAGTACTTTCTGTAGTCTATTTGGTTTAAGGAAAACAAACTCAAGACAAGTTAGGTTTAAACGTGCAGAAGTTCCCTGTCACCAGCAGGGGTAGCTCAACATACTCCTCTCATCACTAAGAACTGCAGAAACAACACACTTCAGCAGCTGCTATTTCTCAACAGAGAACACTTTCAGAGATGTTAAGACAGATTTTCTACTGTCGTGTACCTTTCTAGAAGAAAAACAGGTGTAATATCTGTAGAGTAACATCCTATATTCCCATTACACACGTAGCAATACAAAGCATATTGGATTCTCCCTTGTCTGAACTTCTCAGAAACACGTGCATTAAAGAAAAATAAAAGCTCAAGTGAATGAAAAGAGTTGGGATTTGATTAGAATGCAAAGTCAGCAGAAAGAGCCAAATGCAGATTAATTGTGTTTTATTTATTCAAAACAGAGGGCTAAGATAGCTTATAAACTAGGTGAGTGCAATACAAATAGGCTCCTGTGAAATGCTGGGGCTACCCAACTTCCCACCCACTGGGAGCTGATGAAAAACTGAGTCTTCTGAGTTCTCCTTATACATAGTTCCTTCCATTGCCATTAACATCACCTCATAAGACTGGATCGTATGATGCCAGTGCTCTTTGTATTCACTGAAATCAAGGCACACTTCAACACTGCCTTATAGAACAGGACAGCGCCAAGTAAATCTGAACCAGGCAATCAGTCCAAACTAAATTTGTCTGCATGTATCCTGTTCAATTAAAAAAAAAAAATTATCCAAGTCAGTACACCAGTGATGTGACAGTAGAAAAATCTTACACTTTTAAAGCCAGTACTGCATGAAAACAGAATTGTTTAAGAACAAAAAAAGGTAAATCTAACAGCAATGAATCAAAAAGAGCAATTCCCACAGGTTTCTAATAGAAATCCTAGAGAAGACAAAATCCTGGCAGGGATTTATTATATTTTGATTCTGGAATGTCAGTATTTCATTCCATTCCAATCATTCTAACAACTATTTTGCAGGCTGCTGCCTATAAAACAATACCATTCCACAACTTTATAATAAAATGATCCAAATTGTTGTGAATGTAGAATGAATGTATGTTTTTTCTACAGTATTTAGGAAGTGACAGCTATAAGTACCATGCCTTTTTAAATGGGCTGTAGTACATGTGTAGATACTAGGGTTTAAATGATGAAAACTCATCTATTTTGTGAGATACTATCCTAATTTGCATTTTTAAAATATAATTATACAGTTTTTGAATGGGATATGTACTGTGATTATACAAGGTAGTTTTTAGGAAAAATAAATGCAATGCCAAATAGAAAGCTAGGAAGAAAAGAACTCTAGCAAAGCATCAAAAAGGCAACAGATAAACTATGATTGTGGAGAATCCTGCCTACAATCATTCTAAAGTAAGATTCATTTCCCACAATAGAGAGAGAATAGGATAGATATGGGTAAAAAACTATATTCTGTACACAGTCAGGAACTGATGTGCAGAGCAGGCAATCCAGTCACATGTATCATGTAGATTCAAACTGCTCTACAGCTGGAACAGGCAGCAATCTCTTTCTTGGATACTCCTTTATAATTTAAGAGCCTGTGAAACTTGGACAGTTTCTAAGCAACGCAGTTCAGAGCAACCTGACATAACTCAAATATCAAAATCAAATCTGCCCACAGAAATGCTCCTCATCAATCTCCTGGAAACAATAAACTGACCTCACAATGCTGCATCATATGAAAAATTAAGTATAGAGGGCAGATAGTTAAGAGATACATTCCCAGGGAAGAAATGAGACCATTATGAAAGCAATGAGTTTGTTCTGGGGCTCAGGGGAAGCAGCAGTTCTCTCCATGGAACCCTGCATGGACGAAGTTCGATGGATGGTAGTCTGGTGTTCTTAATACAGGTTGCTAGGGGACATTAGGTAAAAAAAAAGAAACAAAGTTGGCAGTTAGTGACCTTTAAGCTTTTCCAGAATGCTGATGATAGAAATTAATTATGGACAGTAAAAAATAATAAGGAACAAGATGCCCAAAAAGCCCCACTGAGAATTGTAAGACCTAGGCAAAATCAGAGATTCCATTGAGAAGAGACAAAGCTGATCATAACTTTGACTGTAGTCAAGTTTCCTGCTTTCTTTCTATATCATACACATCAACAAATGTAGTGAATGATCCACAATCTGCATTAGTTAATTGCATTTTACTAGAAAATAGAAATGAACTATTCAGTATTAAGTTTATTTAGCTAGAAAAAAAAAAAAGAGAAACTGCGTAGTGTTCTTCCTACTGTGTCCATAGTGAACTGACGTAGTCAGTGACTATGCCCCTTGAGAAACAGTTTTCTGCCTCTTATTAGCAAGCGTTAGTTACATCAGACATTAAACAAGGAGTGGGCACTGCTTAGTCCTGCTTCCTGCTTCATTACTGTTGTGACACAATTTGCTATGATATCATGGTTTACATATCAAACTGAAGGAAAATCAACATAAGAGTGCAGTCAAAGAGTCCCTACTGTTAGTCTGGTTATACAAATAGGAAGAAGACCAAATGTTTCTTTGGTTTGTGTTGGCTATCTTTTCTTTACTTGCTTATACTTTGCTTATGACAAAAGATTACTTTGCTTACAGATTTGTCAAGGAACATTTCTGTGTCTTCTGGAAGTAATCTTTGTGCTTTGCGAGGTCAAAATCTAACTGATATAGTTAGATCTAAAATTAGTTTGATTAATATGATGAAAAGAATATGCAATATAAAAAAGCACAGAGCATCTTCCAGATAAGATTTGATGCTTACTGATACTGTTCAGAGGTAACAGGTTCTCAATTGTACTGATATCAGCAGGAGCTACAAATAATCTTTGGCTCCTTGCATAAATGGGCTATTACTATGAAGGATACTCCTCAGCTATCTTGCCTTGGTTTTGGAATTAAAAAATAGTTGACAAAACTACTCCTTTGAGAATGAAGATTTGTCAGAAAACAGTTCTGCTGAAGTCTCCAAAGTTGTTTCCCTTTTACATTTTAATTACAACATTGTATCAACATTTTCACAAATATCTGAAAGATAAGCCTATCAAAGAACTGCTCATTAGTGTGGTGTACGTGTCTGCCTTTGGTGTTGTGCTGCTCGTAACAACTGTTCCATGCCATGGTTCAGAAACTTTACAGTCATAAGTTTCAATGAAGTTCATATTACCGCTGAAAGGTCTGGTTGCTGATAGCATGTTCCAAGTATCTCTCTTACAATGTTGACTAGTTCTAGAGAGACCATCAGTGGATATACATCCACTTTCCTAGCCATTTGCTTCTCTAAATGTAACCGTACTCCAAGTATTCTGCGTATATACAAAAAGCTTTGAAATACACTTAAAAGTCTAATTGAATTGTTCCAAAAACAGCTGCAGGCAATGTGATATAAGATCACAAGAAATGTGTTTTTTATGGCATTTGTGCAATTACCACACAAAATTTGGTTTTAGCATGTTTACATTTCTGCACAGCCAAATGTAATTATTAAATTCCCAGCTATGTCTATAGGCAGTTATTTTACAAGGGTAGTGATTTTAGTTCGACTGTACAATTATTTTGATTGCACTAGATTTCATTCCTCTAGAGTTCATTCCTCTAAACACAGAGAGAATGCTATCTTAATGTGCCATTCTGTACAACCTTAGGGAATGCCTTCCTTGGTTAACCACCAAATAGGAAGAACTGCATTAACACTGTAAAGAGAAGGCTTAGCCCAGCATCATATTTACCTGTTACTTGAATTTTACTGAAACAGTAGTCAAATTGGCCTATTTAGATGATTTATAGCAGAAGGCATATCATGTTATTGGGAAACCAGTCAATGGGCCTTAATTAATTCCTTCAACACTTTCCCATCCTACCACCCCAAGTGAGATCTGAATGTCAACAGCCCTATGACTACAGACCATAAATCACAGATGCCATTAAAATACCTGCTGTTTGTTTTGTTTGTTTCAAATTAGCTTGCACTTCCTGGATAAGGTTTCAGCCTCACAACTTTTTATTCATGTGAAAATACTTCCTGAAAAATTAAGTTTCCTCCAGGTAAGAAATGAGATATTAACAAGTCTAAATTATTTGCTGGTGTTAGACCTGGACTTGGATCTATGCCCATGATTTGAAGCAAAACTTCAGACTGACAAAATAAAATTCAAAGTATGACTGTTTGAATTAAATCAGGATACCATGTAGAATATTCCCAGCCCAGTTTTGAATCTAAACATAATAATTCTGAGAATTTGTGTATTTATTTATTTGTTTTTTACTTGAGTGTCTACGTGGGAAGACTGAAAATCAAAGCAAACTTGTCAGTTGCTAAAATGACTATAAAATCAACCTTATGTTGTAGAACATGCACACATTTCTGTAGCAATACTACTTTGTCTACTACTGACAAAATAGCTTTTCATGAGTCTTGATTAAAATGGTTCAAATTACATTACTGAATTCTCAGTTCTCAAACTTGAATTGTGACAAAAAATACAGTTCTTTAAGTTCTGTCCTCCATGTTAATCTGTGTTTTATATTACCACTATATTACAACTTTATAACGTTTAGAAAACATATCCAGGCTGATATCAACAAAAGAGCTGAAGCTGAAACTTCCAATTTTGGAATTTCTGTGTGTTCCATGCATAACAGTAACCAGAAAATGCAGATACAGATCTGTGTTGATCAGGACTAATATTGAAAATGAATGCAGAGAAAAAGCTGTGCCTCCAACATACATTAAATCTACATTAAATCTTTGATAAAATAATAAAGAATGCCTTTTATTGCAGCTTTTATTTTTAGTTCATTATTCCTTGTAAATGCTAATGGTACTAGTCTTACAAATAGAGCATTCTTTTTCATAAATGATGTTCTGTCCAGCCTGCAAACAGGAATGTCATCTCAAGAAAATGCACAGAAGGGCAGGGGAAGACCAAGGACTGCAAATGAAAACAGAGTTTAATAAAGGACAGCTGTTTACTTGACCAGAATAGAGAAGGTAGCAGATTTATTTTGTAAATTCAGGCTGGACGAAGATTTACTAGAAAAAGATAAAAATCTTTGTTCTGCTACAGATCATGAAATTAACTGCAGATACTTGTAAAAGCTGTTTTTGTAAAGGCTTTTGATTATTAATAGTTATACTGACTCATAACAGCAACGTTGCAGTGCTTACTAAGGTAATCTCACTTCTGGTACAATAACTTTCACCAATGATGTGCTTTTTCCTTAAAGGAAGGCGGAGTTACGAGTTAGTGTCTGGGCCATAAATAAGAGGTTCCTATGTCAGGGAAATTAGAAGTCAGTTAACATAAGCGTATACTCAGACTGAGCATTAGAGGGCTTTTCTAAACCACCCAAGTCTGCTGAAATTGAAGACGCAGAAGAAATCAGATAGTCTGTAGGAAGTTTAGATATAAAATCAACAGTAAGAAAGCATTTTCTCTTGGCAGACCGATTAGCTGTGCTTAAGGCAGCATGAATCCTGTACTTAGTACCTTGTTGTTTTCAGTGCTTCTGCTGCTGACCCACAGAATTCAGGAGCTGGTGGAGGCGTGCAGCTGTGCCCCTGCTCATCCGCAGCAGCTCATCTGCGATTCTGCTTTAGGTGAGTCATTAACAACGACGTGCTTAGAACTGCTGGTAGGAAATGGAGTGGAGCTAATCTAACTGCTGCATTCTTTTCTGTACAGCTGTAGAGAAATACTTTTAACCATGTGGCTGTGACTCTTAGAGGATTTTAGAACAAATGACTGCAGACGACCCTTTTAAACATACGGCTATGGGAAGAAAAATGTGGCAGTAGCTGATCTGTTTTTCTTGATATTTTTTTTTTTTCTTTTCCAGAACATTTTGTGGTTACAGATTGTTGAAATTACAGTATTATTTAGTGGGCTTTTTTTTTTCTTCATAAAAACAACATCTATGTTAGCTTCTAACTTAGAGTAAGCAGCAAAGAATAAGTGGACTTCTAAATGTTTACTGTTCACAGTATCTATAATGGACTATTCCATCTAAATACATACCCACTATAACTGTGCTTATCAACAGTTGTTACAGCACTCTGGGAAAGCAAAATGAAAAAAAGTCCCTAATGGCAACATGTGGAAATATTCGATCTTTGTTCTTCTGCACTACAATATCTTACTCTGTTGCTGTTATTTACGAAAAATACTTGAGCAGGAAACTGATATGTCCTTTATTTATTTTAATCTGACTGCAGGCTTTCTACACAAATAGGATTTTCCACTCCTTAGGATTTCATAATATTCAATCAAAGCTGTGGCTGTCAAAATACTTCTAGAAAGAAACTAAAGATCTCAAAATTATACTGCATGGGGATAGGAAAATGTGTCATTTTGCAGTCTTTTGATTTCATTAGCTCAAGCTGAGGCTGGTTAGCTTCCATCTAGTGTGAACAGTAAATGTAGAACATGAGTTTCCAAAGTGTCACAAAATTAGCATCTCTATGGGGCAGGCAATACCTTCTGCATACTGATTAATTGCTTTTATACTCTGACAGAAAATCTTTGTAGCCATGACAAACTCCAAGCTCTATTTGTGGCCATCAGTTAAATTGTTTTTTAATCTGGTTGTGTTAAGCAATCTTTTTCATTGAGTTACCTACACCAGGCATTACAAACTTGGGGTTCAGGTGCGAAAGAAAATAAAGTTGCACTTCCAGAAGCTTAACTATATATGTATACAGCTAATGATACTAATCTGTTGCATTCCTAGACATAACAAAGTAAGTTTTTCAGCAGATCTGGGAGTTTTCTAAATAAATAATTTCACAGAATAGAGGAAACTCAAAATACTTGTTACAAGTTGTATACTTTAGGGAATTCATTCCAACCATTCTAATTAAGACAAGGTTCCTTAGAAATGGTAGATACATACTTTCAGATATTTTTAAATAAAAGATTGTAAAGTAATGCTACTTTATATTTGGACTTGGTTCTCAAGCTCTCACTTCCATAAATGTTCTTTTTAAAGTAGATTGTACTTTTCACCTAAGGAATACTTATATTATAGATCTCTTTGTTTATCATCCATATTTTAAAATAGCATTTCTATATATTAAAAAAACAGTTGACAGATGTACATATATCAAATAAATATTTGTAAATATATATTTTTGGATATGCACATATGTGCATTTGCATATATGTAACACTTGAAACCTGATCTAAGCATTTATGGATGAATTCCTTGATTCGTTTTGAACACAGTACATCTTGTAAGCAGATCAAAATGGCTTCAAAGGATCTGGAGAAGACCTGTGGAGCAGTTTGCTCTGCATATGAGAAACCTTCACTAACCACTTTGGCAAAGGCAGTTTCTCCAGCCCTTGTGCCAGGGCTGGGGCTGTCCTGGGGAACGGGCAGCACGAGACTGAGTTTTCCCACACAGCACCACCCCAGTGGGAATCAGGGCAGTGCCTCTGCAGCTGTTCTTCCTTTTGGAAGCAAAGCAGGTTTGAAGCCACACCTGCGTCCTTTGCACCGTTCAGTTCTTAAATGGGAATGGCCATGCTATTAAGTATCCTGTGCAGTAGCACACATCAAATTTCTCCTGCTAGTAGTATAAAGAGTTTTATACCTATGCCTTTTCAAGATTTAAGAAGATTAAAACATGTACTTCAAGATTTGTACTTCAATATCAACATATCTGTACTTCCAAAATATCAATAAACAAAGAGATCAGCTCTTCGCCGACCAAAATCATTAGTAGCTGAACATCAATCCAGCTTCTTACTGAGACTATTCAGTCTTTTTCACTTATTTAGTTCATTCATCTGTGTACCCATAGACACATTCAAGTATTTCCTTGCAGAATAAAAGCATACTAAAACCAAGAAACCATGCCATGCCTCTAAGTTTCACATTAAGTAAAACCTGAGAAAGTCTCAGTTTTGCTCCTAGGGTTACTGAGCATGATAAGTAACTCAGTTACTGCATTATTTCTCAGTTTCACTGTAAGTCTGTAGCTTTTTAAGTCTGCTTTAGGATCTCATGTGATTAAGGTGGAGGGGATGGAATCTGTAGGCTTTACTTGAGTCCCTAAATATAAATGTTTGAAGGCACTCAGAAGCATTAGCATCTATATGAGATATCCAAGAAAAAAAATAGGCAAAGAATAAAGTCTGGGACAAGTTCTTATCAATTTCCTTTTGTTCAAATGATTAGGTACTGTGCCATTTTGTCTTTTTCTGTCAGGAGGATTTTGTGGCTTTGCACTCTTTATAAATACTCAGTATTTACCACAGAGCCTAAGTAACTTGACAGAAATAATAGGATTTCTGACAGATGAAGAAAAAGAGAGTACTTCTTGTTCTGGTATCGTGCTGGATAAAATAAAAATTGCAGATGAGTGAAGAGTACTGCAGTTACGTAGTTGTCCTCAATAGGAAGAACAGCAATTATAGGGTTGAAGTTCCTGACAGAAAATAATGAGTGTTATGTTGGTCCTGCCACTTGTGTGTTAGCTTGTTCTCCTGCTTAGCCATAAGGGAGTGTGATTTTGTACAAATCTGAATTGTTCTCCTGAACTTCTCTGTGGTCTTACATCTTCAGCTCAAAGAGAGGTAAATCTCTATCAATTCGATGTGCCTAGTGCCATGAAGACAGACATCTTCTGTTAGAAAAAGAAATACATTCCTGTTGTGTTCAATAGTTCTGAGATCCTCCTAGAATTTGTTGAATGTCTTCAAACCTCAAAGAACACCTATAATTCTCCAGATTACTTTAGCTCAAAATGGAGATGGAAGGTTTATTAAACAGTAATTCCATGTACTTCACAACTAATTGTAGATGCTAAGTACACGCCCCACCAAAAATCAAGAAGCTTTTTCCTTCTTGAAATGAGACACAACAAGAGTGGGCTGTTTAAAGGCACCATAGTTTCAAGCTGATATAAGAAATGTCCTCTGAGATGTTGGAGAGAAGCCAGGAATGAAACTGAGTTGATCAAATGGAATCAAGATTTCCCTTTTGTCACTGACTTCAGTAATTCATGAGCTCATTTCTAAACCAATGTTCACATCAAATTACACAACCAGGAAAGAAATTACATACGTAAAGAGGACTAATTTCTTTCTCAAGTCTGTTGTTTCTAATTCAAACTGTATTCTCCCCTGAAGCAAAAGCAAGGTTTTTGGGGGTAACAGAACAAATAAGTAAATACTTTACACTCCTAAGATAGGTCATACCAGTGCCCTATCCTAGAGTTGGTGCCTGCATTCTGATTTCAACTACTTTATGATGGATTTCTTTCTCTAAAAACTTATTGAAAATGATATTTTTTAACTGAATATTGGTGCCACACTGCAATAGAAATCAAAAAACTAAGAGGTCTTACGGGTTGCTCTGAAAGTAATGCTTCCTATTTATTTCCATGGAAGCTACAACAGGTACACAGTAACACTGTTTGATAGAGACAATTGATAGAGCTATAAAACAATATTTTTCAACGTAGATGCCACCATTAGCTCTGCATTTTTTGCCAGTGATTAACAGAAGTCTGCATGCTATGATCATAACAAGCTACACCAGTGGAGGTGCCCCACTGTTCCTGTTGCCACCACTGGAGCACACCACCCACAGCCTCACTGTGCTCATATCTGCTCTTTGGTCTCCATAAACTTCCAGCAAGCATTAACGAAAGTCAGTAAGTTCCATTTTTTTCCACATAGAGGAATTCAGTTACACCCCAGTGCTTTGTACATACTTCCATGTTGGACACCATTCTGTCAGATTGCTGTTCTGCTGCCATATGCAGCACAGCAATCAAATGTAATGGAATATTAGTGGGAAGGTTCAACCTCTACTGCCATACCAACAACATCTGCCTCTGACATTGTGGGCCAATGTAAAATAAGGAGGCATTAGTTTCAGAACAGCCCTCATAAATATATCATATAGCTTCAGAGAATTTTTCAGCTTTAGAGACCAGTGGCGCATTTCAAAACGTGATGGAAGCTTTACAGCTGAAGCTTGGCAGCCTTTTAAGCCTCCCAAAATCTCAGAAGATCACTACGAGCAAAATGTGCCAGATCATATATTAAATTTTAATCACATTTAAAAATAAAAGTTAAAAAAAATCTAAATACACCAGAATTAATTTTTCGAAATCAGTTCATCTGGGGGTAAAATTGCAATACGTGATTTCTGTATTATTGAATTTCACATTTAAAAATTGATGGTTCAGTGCCACACTATTTTGTCTCACTGCAATATCATATTTTGTTTTGCACTGCAGTGTTTTGATTTGTGCAATATTAGAGTGGAAAGTAGTTTTGCCTCGTGGGGAGAATCAGCTTTGGAAAAGCTATTAGAAATGCAGACAGTACTTCTTCCAAGTTAAGGAAAAAAATTCTAACAGTGAAACGAGACTTCTATTCTCACTATGTTATATGCTCCCACATAAGCTTAATCTCATAGAGTTTACTTGCTGCGAACAGTGTAACACAAAATTAAGCAACTGTGTAATTAATCTTTGTGTTAAGGACTATAACGTTCACACAAATGTTAATACCTATATCACGTAACAAAAGACCACTGAAGACAGACTCCACAGAGTCCCATAAAAAAAAAAGCATATCAAAGA